TGTTGTTCCCTCCATCAGAAACCACTTAGAACATCTATAATAATGATGCATTAACGTGTCAGCAGTGCAGGCTGCCTGATTCATCACTGCAGCCTGTTCATGGTGAGAGCCTGTCTCCTGTGCTTACCTTCCTATATTAATGTTTCATTGAGTACATTACACAATATCACATCTCTGTTTGATGATGATGATCTCGGACACACACATACATGTACACATAAGTCAATGTTATATGGTGTAAGTTATAAGATGTCCCATGATGTTTTTGACCTATATACGTCATTTGCATGTATATGAGGGTTTAAAGGTACAGTGTGTAGAATTTTGTGATATTTAGTGTTGCAGCTGATCAGCCCTCACTTCACCCTCTCCTTCCAAACATGAAAAAGAAACTGTGGTAGTCTTTAATTTTCATAAAAACTCAAAAGGTTTTAGTTTGTTCAGTCTGGACTAATGTAAAAAACATGGGGGCCTCTGTAGAGAGGGTTAAATATAAAGGGCCTTTTCTGGGGTAAAGAAAACTATAATTCATACAATTTAGATGAAATGAACTAGTGAAAACATCATGAGGATTATTCTACATTCAATTTCTGCCAATAGATCCCTTTCACCTAAATCTTACACACTGGACCTTTAAATAATTCGATCTATACAGGTACTTTTTCACATTGCCCAGCTCTGTTAATTGCATAAAATGTAAAACAAACTTTGGCTCTCTGCTTTTACCAATTGGACAGTTTTTCTACATGGTTAGCAGAGCAGCCTCATAAATTAACTCACAGGGTTCTACAGAGCTTGTCTCTTTAGAATTGAACTAAGTTGAAGTTAAATTACAGATGAATGCAATTGTAATAATGCAGCTAAATAAGTCCCAAGTTGGACTGTTCTTTAAAGAAATACCAGCCACGTTATTGCATCACTGTAATAGAATAAAAGCATCAACATTAGGGGAGAACATGATATGATATGAAGTATGTTGCCCTTTTCTTCCCTGGTGCTTCATGTCTCTACATATACTCAGCAACCAGAATGCATTGCAGTGACACATTGGCGTCTCTTTCTATTTAATATTAATGCTGAGGGGCAGATCATAGGATCTTTAACCAAGCGCTGTCCCAACCATTGGCCTCCCTCAGCTCAGATAACAGGTTGCAGCTTTGTGTATGGCTGGTCTCAGAACAGCTGGGAGATGATGTCTTTTGGCCCGATGTGAACATTTAAAAGTGGGACAGTGGACCTTGGTTGCCCCGTGAGTGACAGGAGGCCCCGCTTCTCTCCAAAGTGTTTTCCTGAGCAGGGAATAAATAAGTTGTTTGGTGATGAGATGACTTGCCTCCGGGCTCAACAGCATCTCTCCCACTCAGGCTTTTGAACTCCAGGAAAGGAGAGGTGCTGTTACAGGCCCCCTAAGGCTGATAGAGAAGGGAGGCAGTCTTCCACTTTCTCAGACAGACTGCTAAAATATTTGACAGACTTACTATGGTGCCAGTGGGGAATATTGACATGCAGAGTTCACAGTTCAAAGAAAAACATCAGCGCAAAGTAGTGACTCCACCCCACCATTACAATATGTGGTGGAGTTCATTGTAGAAAGAGTCAATTACAGACTTAAGCAACATAAATGTCTGCCTCTAGCTGGATTAATGAACAGTGCAGCAGAGTGACTGGACTTTTTTTTCTACAGTCATTTGGCTGATCTGCTGCCACGAATGGGCTTTTCTCTCATTGTTGTGATAGTCTCTCTGACATATGGTACAGCTCAGGAAACATGGCAACGACATGGCAACAACTTGTTCAGAGTTCAGATCTTTTATATTGGAAACACTGGGACAGGCTGCACAAATAAGGTGACGCACTATGAGAAAAGACACTAGGTGCTGGGCTTGTCCTCTAGGATGTTGCGTAAGCTCTCTCCTTGGAACACCTGAAAGAAAACATGGGGGGGTTAAATGATAAAGAGTGTGATGAGATATCTTGATGAAATGACATCAAAACATATTAATTCATTAGTATATCAAGTTGGTACTGTGGCGTTCTAACGCAGGCAGACTCAGCAGTCGATATAAGGGCGCAGAGGGGCCCTGCACCACACTTCTCACTCAGCTTCAACAGTCACAGATGGCTGCTTGAAACATCGTCGTTTCTCCATTCGGTATCATCACTATCCGACTTCACTATGTGAAGAAGACAAATCCTGCTGTGTATAAACCGATTCACATTTTTGAGCTGCTGTCTCGCCGCCGCATTCCCAAGCACAATTCTCCACTTTGATTTTAATTAATTCCAGTCTGGGACAATGTGCTGTTCCAGTCCAGTCGTCTCTGCTATAAATTCACCAAACAGACTCTATATCAGGCTGCTTGACAAATGTTTACTCCACAAATAGATCAAAAAGCTATGCACGGGGCTCTTTATGTGGGGATTAGCAAGCTGGAGAAACTACAGCACGAGTGATATTGACAGTGTTGATCTTGGCAAAGAAAAAGCTCCCGAAAGTGCTTTTGGCAGGAATGTGTTCACCACAAATGATGTAAACGCATGTGCATACGAACACACTTTCTGTGTACATGCACGCAGATACAGTTACAATAATATGTTCCTCGTTCTCACACAGTGTGCACACATTTATTTATAAGTGTTACCATGACAACCAACAGCTTGACAGTTTGACCTGTGTGTGCGTCTCATTGGTTTGCACTGAGCAGCGGCACATAATCTAGGCACCTTTCACAATGTTTCAAGGCTACAACTTGTTTTTTCAACACAAATAACGAAATGACAATTTAGTTACTGTTTATCACCGTCACTATTGACAACTGTGTTGCTTGCTTTTGCTGTTAGTCCATGTTAGATGCATTGTCCTGTTTGAAATAATCTTAACGATCTCACAACAAAAACATTCGTTTTATGTTGCCACCTCGTTCGTAGCGAACCAGGTCTCAACATGTGTTTACATAAATTCACTAAATATGGAAATTGTTAATTTAGTTATTAGGATTATAGGGAGTTTGGTTTGGTGTTAAAATCCCATTCCAGGTCCCAAAGCAACAATAAATATATCCTTCTAACCAAAGTTAAAAAGATAACAATGAGTATCCACAGTCTGATGTGTCGCATTATTCTGCGCCTCCAACTTCTTCTGATACGAGATCCATGACCCAAATCAAAATCATGTAATTTGAGTCCACATCTTCAGAAAGCAGTGCCAATTTGAAAGCAATATTTAGTCATATTGGAATAATATTTGTTGTAAAACACAACCCAGCTCTTTGAGAAATTACTGAGCCATGTTTTTAAACTGGGGCCTGGGTCTGAATGGAACAGACACAGTAGAAAGTGATGGACTAATGGAACAGCATAGGAAATGAGCACTGGGATGTCAGCATGTTAATATCCAGTGAAGATTGCATGGGAAATACTGCTTGTAGAAAACTAATAGAGTAAAACAAACACTGCTAGTTTGACATTTAGGAGATATATTTCAGTTCCCACCTAATAATTCATTATAACACTATCAAACACATGTGAGATATGTGTGGACTCCTGCAAAAGAGAAAACAGTTTTACAGAAAGAAACCACTGATTTATTTTTGAATGAGTTCTAATAGGATAATAGGCCTCATTGATTGTTCATACAATATGCCAACTAGCTACCATTCACAGCTAATACCAGTATCATATAAACAGTACGTTTGAATTCCAGCCTTTCCTCATTACCACAATTATGCAAACACATAATAAGCAGTGACTTGCAGATTTTCTGCTGAGTCATTTGTCAATAAATGAATCCCAGAGGTGTTGATGTTAGCAGCTTGTTTAGTTCACATTTCTCTTACATGTAACATTGCAATAATGCGGTTTTGTCCTTCTGATGGGCTTTTTTTTAATCAGTTTTAAATCTTATTCAAACTTTGCTGCACATCTTCGTATGAAGGGAGCTGCTCCCAGCAGTATCTTAATTCACTGCTTCTCTAGTCACGAGTGTGAAAATCTCACTGCAGGAAATCCCATAGGATGTAATGAAAGCATGAAGGGCAATTTTCAAATTTGTAACAGATTCATATTGTATGCTCTTACTTGGATCCATCCGTCATCCAAATAAAGGTGGACAAAGACTATATGTCTATATATTAGTAAATCCTAATGTCATAGACTTTATAAAATAGTTAATTCTACATAGATGTTTTGTTTTGGTGCTTCCTGTTTCCAGCTCCAGTTTGATCATCTGATCATCTGGTTGTAGAGATGCCTACCCATCCATCTATTATCTATACCACTTATCTTTAGAGGGATGGGGGGGAGCTGGGGGAGCTGGAGCCAATCCAAATTGACATTGGGCGAGAGGCAGGGTACAATAGCTGTATAAATAAGGTTTATTTTTATTATTATATATATATATATATATATATATATATATATATATATAATAAAAATCAATAAAAGTCTCAATAGTTGTTTCCATTCCACAGTAATAGTCCTCCAATCAGAATTGAGACAACATACAGTCAATGACTTTAATGACTTTAATGTGACTCTATATCTATAAATACCTGTGTGCAGCTTCCCATTTGTTGGTATCACAAAGTAAATGTAATAATGTAAACATGAGGAACATAAGGCATTTTATATATATATGTGTGTGTGTGTGTGTGTGTGCAACGTGAAATCTGAGACCCCATTATAATTATAACTATGCTTTTATATAATTAGACCTACATTGTTATATAATATTAATGCTATCTGAACATAGACTGATCTTTCTCAGTCTCTCCCATTGACCTCTTGTAACAACTACAGATCCAGCTGAAGTCTATATACCTACAGTAGAATACACATTCTTTTAACAGTAGAGCATTTATACCCATAGTATTTTGAAGACAGGAAGTATCTGTACAGCAATAATCACGGTTCATTTTCATAGAGTGCATTCATTCATAATAGCACACTCTAATGATTTTCTTTACTTCTAACTTGTAACCCAGTGTTTCTGTCTCTTACAGATGCAGATCTACATGTACAACTCAGATGACTTCGACAGCCTCAGTGCAGCGCTCAGGGAGAAGAGGATCATTGCAGCCATGGCTGTGTTTTTTCAGGTAGGAACCTTTTCTATGTTTTTTTCTGTCTCTCAGTAGAAGCTGAAAAACACACCTTTTGTTTTTCAGTCTTTCATGTAAAATTTTGAATGTCCATCCCAAAATGAAACTTTTGTAATCATCTCTTTTTCACTGTCAGAGTTTGTTCAGGCAATAAAATTTAAGAGCCGTTGGAATTCTGTCTAACCCTCACCTCCTGTTTGTGATGGTTCAAAACATGACTGATGATCAAAACCAAACCAAATGGCTGCAGGATGGTTATCAAAGTACGTTTTGTCTTTGGTCAGGCAATTTAACCTTTCATTAATCTAAAAAAATACAAATTAACTCAAAATAAAGCCATGTTTATATGTTTTCAAAACTGTAAGTAACAGAACATCCACAAATACATTTTATTTCATTGAAATATTCCCTAACCAAGTCGGTTTCATTCAATATAAATTTGTGATACAAAGTTGTGCAGGCTAAGTCATAAATTACGATTGACTTTAGTGTGTGGGAGACTGAGGATTGTATGTTTGTCTGCTCTTCATGGGGTGTAGAGTGGGTTTCACCTCTCTTTTCAGTTTGCTTTATCCTGTTGGTTTCCCAGGAAGCTAAAAAAGTCAGATTTTCTGTGTTGTAGTGCTTTGAGGGTGTGTGGGTATATGAGCTGTAAGTCCTGTAGATCAAGATCAAAGTCCAGTCACCAATAAAGTGCTCTATCTTCCCCTGGCCTGTGGAGTGGAGCTGTGGGTGGACTGGGATCACTGTGAACTCTATCCCTCTCAATTGACAGGAATGAAAAAATCCTTTGAGGCCATCGATAACCCAAGTGGCTTTTCCTTTTACCGGTAACCCCCACTAAATATTTCCTCCTCCTCAGTCTCTCTTGCTCTATATAGTCCTTTCACTCCTTTTGCTCTCTCTCCTTTGTGAACGTTGCACAGATGAAGGTGGGCACGTAAAGTCATTTGGACCAAAATCCAAGTCTTTGCAACCCCTAGATGCTGCAGTATTCTTTTAATTGCATTTTTAATCAACATGAGGCCGTTGGACAGAATGAATAAAGTCATACATATATGTTATATGTCTGTATTTGAATTGTTTTGTGTTAAAGTGTTCGATGAGGTTTTGGGCTTAAAACAATTTTTTTGTGAAGATTCCTGGAGGAAAGGTCAGGATTTTTGAAATGAACTGGGTTTATATAGGATGCTCCTACAGACTATGAGACATTTAGGTTTTTTTACATGTTTTTGTACTTATAGTTCAAACTTGTTTGAGTGGTAAACACTACATAATCCAGTGCCATCTATCTTGACTGCTCTTAACTCATTCAGTGTTTATCAGTGTTTGGAAATAAAAAGCTGCCTCAGCTTTCGAATGGTGGCAGCACAAACACTGGAGATCCCACAGTGTTACCAGAATATTCAAGTCAAGGCATCATGCCCATTTGAGCTGGCAACGAACGTGTCTTATTTTCCAACACAACTGTTCTTACAATGTTTATTTAGGAGATGGACAAGAGCGAAATTAATAAATCACACATTAATCATGCTTTTTGGAAAATGAAAGCTTTTCTCCCCCTAATGAAATCCAAACACATCTATGACAAACCAGAGTTACAACCACCCCCAAGATAGTGGATAAGTCATTTAATTGGCAGGATTTTCTTGTTTGCCTCAAATGACACATTTCTTATTTTATGGAAAAAAAGATGTCTTTCTCTCTATCCATTCTTTTAGATCTCTTGACAATCTTGATATAAAGTATGCATATATTTGCTCTGAACCTGATGATATTGAGCAGTTACATCTTACCACCTGAAAGACTGATGCCCGTGCCCTCAGTAAGTTGGCTCGCGCAGATAGATCTCAACAGGCTGCGCTTGTGTGCTTTGTTCACCATTCAAAGTGGAGCGTGTGGGTGTTGACCTCAGAAGTGCATTCTCCTTTATTCATCCAGTCACCGCTCACTCTCCTGCTCCGCTCACATGCTTCAGTTTGTCTTTGGCAAGCTGAGTAGACAGACTTAAAATGTGTGTGTGTGTGTGTGTGAAGCCGCAGAGGGCGGATAGATTGTACGATGTAGTCCACACACACACACACAGAACATCTATGTATGTGTGCCTTTAAATCAAGTATTGATGCAGTTTTATCACTTGGAGGTTTTACTTCGAGGGTAAAGTGTGATTTGTGAGCCTATGTCAGGGTGTCTCTGTGTGTAGATGAGGTGTGTTCGTATTTTGTGTGCCATCACCCAGTAGTTGTTTTTGACATGTGAGTAAAAGTCCTTTAGAAAACTGTTTCGTTTTCTTACTGTGTAGTTGTTTGTGTATGTGTGTGTGTGTGGAGCCGGGCTTGTAGAGTCTCCTGGGCCTGCTTGTGTTGATGGTGATGAGAGAAGCTCTCCTCCTGGACTGTAGAGTTTAAATATGCCCTCTGCCATGCTGCACTGTACTACAGCAGCCTCCCTCACAATGCTCCATAGAGACAGCTGCATGAGTAATTGTTTTCTTCCATTTTTACTTAAATGGCTGCATTTAACTGACCAGAATTTTTGTAAAAACAAGATCAGACATTAAAATGCCTTTTTTAATATCAGAAAATGACTTTCTTTTTTGAGTTCCCTTGGTACACTCAGTATGCTAAATAACCTATTTGTTAGGCACAGGTGCCACATGTAAGCATTTGCTGTTAATACATAGGTAACATTAGAATTAAAATATTTTTACCAATCTTGCAGTGACTGAATTGCTTGAGTTCAGTATCAAACTTTATTTTCCTTTATTCACTAAACCCTATCTCTGGTGGTGAAAAACAAAGCAACTGGGCAACACATTTCAATCTCCTTCCACTATCCAACAATTAACGGCAAACATCCCAGATACCAACACCACCATCTTTAGCCTAAGATGTCATTTGGAGCCATGTGTCTGGGCAGTGGCGATTTCAGGATGGAGCTGTGGTAGCGAGGTCCCTCCTATACAGAAACTCAACCAATTTGGAGTCAGTCCTGTGTTTATAACATCGAGTAACTACTCAAAACCAAACTAACTGGAACGCATGTTACTTTCACTTCATCATTTAGTCCACGTCGCATCAACTAATCACAGTCTAGGTTTATGACCTATACTACAGCCAGCCACCAGGGAGCGATCAAGGTGCTCTGGCTTTACTTATGTAGAATTGTCATTTCATCCATCTTTATATCCGTCTCATTATCTGTTCTAAGCAGTACATTCACTCAGAAGGGTACTGACTCAATCCTGTAATTAGTTAGGCCTCAGTGGTACCGTTGTATTAGCCTGTGTTATTGACTGTTACATTCACAAGTGTTTGTCAGTTTGTATCTCAGTCCCATGCACATATATTTACAAAATCCAATATTTGTATCCAAGCGCAAAACAAAATGTTCACATATAACATATATGTTTTATAGACCTAATCAGTAGATGTTACAAAGGGCTTTATTTAAGTGGAATATGTTCAAAGTCACAATTGAAATGTGTGGAGCGAGTACACTTTACATGCAACACATTAAACACACCAAATAAAACAATTTTAGCTAAATTTGGAGGTTCTCCAGTTTATCTGGCCAATGATATACATGTTCATAATCGGCTAAACCTCGATTTGCATGCAATGTTTCATTGTCAGGAGATGCTAGTGGTATTTATCATTGTATCACTGCCTTTCTCTGTAAGGTACTTTAAGATAATATAAGATCAAACAAGGTAACATTATTATAACATCTTATCATCAATGTCAGCTAAATGTTTGTGGTGTCTTCACGTCTACTATTTTCCTTCCAGTGATTTTAGAGTAATATGTCTTCCCCCCCCCACCAGTACTTCACTAACTCACTTTTAAGTGGCTTTGAATGTCGACCTGTTTTTTTTCCCCAACCAAGCCCTGCTGTTGCCATTATGTACTTTCTCCATCTCACATCATTGGTTTAGCACATACAGCCATGGGAGCAGCAAGCTCCAGGTTCAACACTGTTGCGCTGTGCACTGCTGACGTGCAAAGTCACCCAGAAGTTAATTCAGGCATGCACGAAGAGAAATGTGCAGCCATCCAGAGACATGAGGGAGACTTTGGATTATGTGATTTTATTCCCAAAAGATGTCAATTTGTCTCCTCTCTTTTCAATAAAAATAGGATATATATTTATATTTTATTTATTTCCTTTTTATTCACATGTTTTTTAATGAAATCATATGTAGTTGTTGTTCATAGCTAACATGTAAATCAGTTTCGTGTCATCAAGCTCTCACCTTCATGGAAAAAGGAATATGTTGAGGCAGCAACTCGTGAGAGATTTCAACTTCCTGTGACCTCTGCTTTTCATCTCAGCAGTTTCAAATTAAAAAGTGCCATTTATACTTTGTGTTCTTTGTGCTTTAACACCAGCTGATACTAAAATATTAGACAACATTAGTATTAGACCACACACATGCCACATGATGCAACCAAATTCAATTTCAGGTCAGTGTTACTGCTAATTCGCTTACCTTTGGGTATTTGTTATATACACTGTATGTACAGCTGTATGTTCATACACTAACAGCTCATAGTAAAAGCATGATCTGCTTACATGTATTCATTATAATTTCATCCATCTACACATACTTATATGAATGTTTAAATAACATTTCACACCAAATAGATTGATAGGTAGAAATTCCTCAGAATTCATGCTGCGTGAATAAGGCTGTAGGTGAAACCATCAAGACAAACCATCCTTGAAAGAAAGCTTTAAATACCCACCTATGGTATTACTTGTTAAACTGTGTCAGCATGTTTTTTTAACAGAATTAGCTCATGGCCAAACCTCTTCCAGGCAACTTCCAGTGTGGAGCCTTCGTAGACTTCACCATACATCCCAAATATTTACACAACCCTGCCACGGGGGAGACCATCACCATTAATCTGCAAAAACAATGTCAAATGTACAGAGATGAGGCTTTCCCTGAGACTTTCACCAGACTGTACAAATAAGAATAATGTTACCAGGCC